TGCACTTCGAACCATACGTTCCCACACGCCAGACATACTTGATGCAGTCAGGGGTTGAAATATCCATTTACAGCCTCATTGTATCAGCTCTCTCTCTATCTGCCCTTGGTTCCATTCCTGGAGACTCTTCTTCAATTCTCGTTCGGACCCAAAGGTTAGAACCGTTGTCACACCGTAACTCTTTCACGTCTCCCCTTCGATTTATAAAACGCCTTAAACACATGATGAACTCATCAGTATCCATAGAATTAACCACTTCAAGATGCACGCCACGGGTGGTCAAACAGGTAAACAAAGCAACACCACCGTTTCATGCGGTCCCTCGCCATGTTTCACATAAATCGGGCCAAAGAGGTCCATACCAGTGAACAAAAACGTGGCTCATAGGCTGTAAGTCGACATTTGGGTAAGGGTGCCATCTGCTGGGTCATAGGTTTGGCGTTAAGTTTCTTGCAGGTAAGGCATCGATTAAGGACCGATCTAACCAATACACGCACTTGAGGGATCCAGAAATCTTCCCGCAACTTTGCAATAACATGTTCCGTCCCAAGTGACCAATAAGGTGGTGAACGTGACGTACAACCAACTTGGCGACGGATGGTCTCTGGGAAAAATCATTTGTTGGCCGAGTGTACAGGAGGTCGACTTGAGCTGACCACGGCCATTAACTCTCAGGATTCCGCCTTCGTCAAGTTTGGGATTCAGTGACGCAACCTTGCTTGACGGCTTGACCGCACCGTTGGACTTCAAATCTTTAATCTCCTGTGCATACGCCAATCCTTGGACAATCCTCACAATTGCTGCAGTTGCCGCGTCAAAATCGTCAACACTGAGGCGTCCAGTTTTGGCGTTCTGTTTGTCCTTAACAAATTGTACAAAAACGCAGGAGCCAGGCCATTCTGCGCCTGAGGCGGGACCAATCTGAACAGGTAGTTAATAACACTTTCGGAGGGGCGGTTCTTCACAGCTTTCGGCGGCCGTAGGCCTTGTATCTTCCTTCTTCGCCACGGACGGATTAGGGGAAAGTTGGACGGAGTGCACGAGAGTTTCCTTCTTTAACTCCAGACCTTCATCGGGTGCAATTGGCACTTGTCTGTGGGCCAACAAGTTTCCGGCTCCCACAAGAAGTCAGGTCCACGGCCACATATGGTCAGCAGTTAGCGAAGACGGGCTCATTCCTCGCGACACATAGTCTGCGGGTTTAAGGATCCTGGCACATGATGCCAATCCTCTACAAGTGTGTGCTCCTTATTTCTTCCACTCTGTTAGCTACAAACGTCTGAAGTCTTCGTTTCTCGTTTCTCAGATAGTGCAGTACTATTTCACTATCAGTCCAAAGATATGTCCTGGAAATGTTCAGTTCAAGTTCCTCTCGCAACATCTTAAGCATCCGGGTTGCGGTACAGCTGCTTGCAATTCCAGTCTTGGAATACTAACAAATTTCACAGGTGCATTTCTGGCCTTACCAATAATGAAGGCGCAATGAACTCGTCCCATCGGGGTACTTTCGCTTCAGATATGATGATGCGCCATAGCCAATCTCTGACGATCTGAAAACACATGAAGCTGTAACTTGCATTGACGCTGGGTCACCGTCTGACAGGAAATAGGACCGAGGGATGGACAACTCGGACAACAAGGGTAACTCAGTGTTCCATGCTCTCCACTTAGACAGAAATTCTTCGCTCAGGGGCTCATCCCATCCTATGTTAGCCTTCCATAGGTCTTGAATCAGGCGTCGTGCAGACAAAGCCACTGGTGCTGCGAAACCCAGAGGATCAAACAATGAACAAACAGTGGAGAGTATACCGCGCTTTGTTTCAGGGGCGAACTAGGCTTTTATTTCAACCCCAACGTATCATCTCCAACAGACCAACCTACTCCGAGTGTACGCTCTATAGGTAGCTCGTCCAGGTCAAGGTTTAGATCTGGCTTAGATCGCTTATCATTTGGGACAGCACTTAGTAGTCTCTTGGAGTTCGACGTAAACTTGGTCAAGTTAAATCCGCCTCGAGCGAGCAGTTCTACCATGTCATGGGCTAGGCGAATTGCGCACTGTTCATCATTCTCAGAGGGAAGAGCATCGTCAACATAGAAATTTCTTTTCACAGCTGTAATAACACTAGAGCTGTACTCTTCGGCATTGTCGCCGCCACACGGCGCAAAGTTGAGTTTGCAAAACATGGGGAGGAAGCCGCTCCAAAATATGCACTTGCATGACGTATGTATCAGGGGATTATCATATCCATTTGTCCACCACAGGAACCTCAAGGAATCCTGGTCTTCCTCACGCACGCCAGATCTGATGAAACATCTTTTCGATGTCGGCAGCGAACGCTATTTTTCCCTGGTGGAACGTGGGAGAACACCAACCAAGTTGTTGGCTACATCTGGTCCAGTCAGCAAGTTCTTATTAAGCGAAGTTCCCTCGCATTCAGCTGCTGCATCGAACACAATGCGCACCTTGCCTGGTTTGGTAGGACTGGTTACAGGGTGATGCGGAAGATACCAATGTGTTTTAGACTCTTTGTTTAACTCTTCTTCTGACAACTTGCGAGCAAACCCACTGCTGATATAACTATCCATAACCCAGCGGTACTTAACGGCCATTTCTTCGTTGCCAGGTTTCGTAAGACGGCGCCTCTCAGGCACTCTAGACGGTGCTTGGCCATGGCTACATTATTCGAAACTGGCGTTCTTTCTCCTTCCACAGCATACCGACTTCATACCGACCGTCCACGCAGCGGGTGGTGTTCTCAATTATCTTCAAGGCTATTTTGTCTTCCACCGAGAGGGGTTTCTCATTTGATTTCAGTGTCCCGTAATCCTCCAGATTCCAAAATTTTTCAATGAGAGAACGCGTTCAGGGTCAATCGAGACAAAGTTTGCTGAAACCCCTTGACGACAATTGGCACCATAAGGACCACAAACGCACCAGCCGAAGGGATAACGACAGCCATAGAGCCCTTTCTTCTTATCTTCAGGGACTCTAACTTCCTTCTGTAAATGTGCATAGGGAATATTGTTTCCAACAAGTATAGAGACTCTCTTGATGTCAACCTCCGAACTCCACATCACGTAAGTGCGGGTACTCAATAGTGTCAATCTGCTCCGAAAGAGTACAGCGACTGGTTGAGGTTAGGCAGGACATAGGCCTCCGAAACGTCAATACTCTGCCCGGAAGTATCCACCGAAGCCAAGGTAAAGGACACACGTTTCGACTCTACCACATTGTCACTACTTGAAATCGTGTTAATTCCGATTTGCACGGGTGTTCCTTGAATACCAAGGTGATCAACTAAATCTTGTTCAATGAGGGTGTCAGTGCAGCCACTGTCTAAGAACGCGTAAGTGGATACAGTTTTACCATTCTCAGCAGATATAACAACAGGTATAACGTTCAACAGCACTTTCGCTTGCACAGTCGCAACGGCAGCGGACGATATTGGCACCTTTCCCACAGACTTGTCAGACTTGTCTCCGCTCGCGGCTGGAGTGACATTTCCCCTTTCGCTGTTTGGGGATTTAGGCGTCGCCAATGGCTTGTCAGACTTATCACTAGACTCTCTATTATAACGTGGGATGAAGCGACGACCACCATAATTACTTTCAGAGTGCAGAAGAGGAATGTGTCGACCGGAACATACTGAACATGCTGGTGGGTCCGGACAGGAGCCAGAACCGTGTCCGGGCCTTTCAAGACCACAATTAAAACAAAATCCACAGGATGCCGCATACTGTCTTCGCACTGCCACGTGTTTGCACTGTTTGATAATAGGGCATTCTTGGAGTTTGTGACGCTTACTTGATTTGCAAATTCCGCAGTGTTCAGTGTTCTCAGAAGCAGGAGTTTTATGATCAACGCCGGTAGCAGTGATTGTGGTGTTCTTTACTGGAAGCTTTGGAGGAAGTTTGGTATTCTTGTTTTCCCGCTTAAATGTCTGCAACCCGAACACCGGGTCATTTCTGTTAGACGCTTGTTTGTGCACAAAATCAGCGACGTCCTTTAATCGAGCGGATCTTCCGGACTTCACGAGCTCGTAGTTCACGGTTTGCCACTTCAGGATTAAGTCGTTAGGTAAACGGTTCACGATGCGCCTGAGGTTCGTCGCTACGCTCGCCTCGCGTTCCACGTCTCCCTTGAGGATCCTGGTGGCTGCATTTAAGTTCTCAGAGAAATTGAGAAGACCAGTATTGTCGCCAGTCACGCCAACTTGGGGCCAGATGCGAGCTCTTCCACACATGCTTGCGTCACTCTCACCGCTTGGCCAAAACGTTCCTCCAACGTTTTCATAATCTCATTAAACGTACAACCTCTATTACGCTTCACAACCTCTAACGCTTCTCCCGCCACGAATTTAGGCAGATACTCCACTTGCTGGGCATCAGTGAGCAGGTCGCTTTCGAGGTGCGTCTTTAACTTGTTCACGAAAAAAAGGGAACTCGGCTGGATTACCACTGAACTGTGTCGGCTTTATTCCGCTAAGATATTGTGCTTTCCACATTGCGGCAACATGATCACGGGAGCCTGGTCCATGCTGGAGACGGTCTGCGACCACCCGGTTAACACGTTCAGGGACTGGGTCGAGTTAATCCCGCGCAGAAGGAGTGGTGGTGTTCAATCCCTTCACAGACGATTCATTGTGGCTCAACATAGTGTCCGACGGTCTTGAAACTGCTGGATACTTTGGCTCCGTTGATTGAGGTGTTCCACTGGATATCACATACACGGCACTCGGTTGACTGTTAAACCCATCTCTAGAAACATACTCAGACGTAACTGGGGTGGAGTGTGATTGCTTGTTAACAATAAACGTAGAAGTGTTCAAGGCACTAGGCACAACAGGGGGGAGTTTACTTTCAGTCAAGTTATCCATTTCAATTTTCCATTCAAGCTCAGCCAATGTTGCTTCCTCTTCAAGGCGCCTAAGTTCCATCCTTTGCTTATATTCGTGAGCCACTCTTGCTGCTTTTGCATCTTCCTTTGCCCTAGCTCTTGC